TTTTCCAAAGGACTTTGATATTGAACGTCCACCTCACGATGGTTTGGCTCAAGCTCCTCAGTAAGTTAGTTTAGACCAATTCTATGAATATACTATAGTTTATTAATATATCTAGATTTTTACTGCGTGAGAATGAGGTCTCGTATGGCGTCAAGGGACATAACACTGAGCTTATGTGGTTCGTTTATGGCTATCCCAAGCCAAAGATGACCTACTACTTTAACGATAGTCTAATTGAATCCGGCGGAAGATTCGATTACAGCTACACACGTAATGGACAGGCGACGCTATTTATTAATAAGTAAGTTGCTTAGATATTGGCGATTGTATATATAAGTAAGCAAACTTATTACCGTTATCCCTTCCCTGCACAGCATGTTAGATCGCGATGTTGGATGGTATGAAGCCGTGGCGACCAATGAGCATGGCGAAGCTAGGCAACGAGTTCGTCTGGAAATTGCCGAATATCCACGATTCACAAAGCGTCCCAATGAAACGTTCATCATGTCGCGCAAGAATGGACGCATTGAGGCCAGGATAACTGGTATTCCGCTACCGGAAGTACATTGGTATAAGGATTGGAAGCTTATAACTGAAACATCGCGCATTAAGATTCACTCATATGATCCCGATGTCTATATACTTGCCATACACGACTCCATAATAAAGGATGGAGGTCTCTACTCGGTGAGCGCACGAAATATTGCCGGCTCCATTAGCACCTCAGTCACGGTGCATATTGAGGAAAATGAGGATCAGTACATCTACAAGACCTATGGCAGACATCCGTATGTGCGCGCGAAGCAATTGCGTTATGAGGACAAATACGATATTGGCGATGAGCTAGGTCGCGGCACTCAGGGCATCACATATCACGCTGTGGAGCGCTCCACTGGCGATAATTATGCGGCTAAGATCATGCACGGACGGCCAGAGCTGCGGCCCTTCATGTTGAATGAACTGGATATGATGAACATGTTCAATCACAGGAACCTGATACGCCCCTACGATGCGTACGAGAATGATCGCGGCGTAACGCTCATAATCGAGCTGGCGGCCGGAGGCGAACTCGTCAGGGACAATTTGCTTACGAGGAACTACTACACCGAGCGAGACATTGCCAATTATATTCGCCAGACTTTGTATGGCTTGGAGCATATGCACGATTTGGGCGTGGGCCATATGGGCTTAACGGTAAATATTATTTAACTTATTTGTATGTGGGCTTACATTATATATGTTATCTTCTTTTCAGATCAAAGACCTGCTGATTTCAGTTGTAGGCAGCGATTTCATCAAGGTATCTGACTTTGGTCTGTCCCGCAAAATAAATAAGCACAATCTATCCACACTGGACTATGGAATGCCAGAGTTTGTCTCCCCGGAAGTCGTTAACAAGGAGGGCGTTAGCTTCTCGCACGACATGTGGACAGTTGGCTTGATCACGTATATTCTGCTCGGTGGCAGAAATCCCTTCATGGGCGCCGATGATAGAGAAACATTGACCAAAATTCGTGAGGGTCGCTGGGACTTTTCGGATTCCATTTGGACCCATATCTCTGAGGATGGTCGCGACTTTATAAGCCGACTGCTGCTGTACAGCCCCGAAGAGCGTATGGATATTAAGACCGCATTGAAGCATCCTTGGTTCTTTATGCTCGATAGAAAAGCATCCGATGAAGATTATCAAATTGGTACGGATCGCTTGAGGCACTATTATGATCACTTCAGGGATTGGTATGCAAATGCTTCCTGCAAGAACTACTTCCGTCGTCGCCGGCTCAGTGGCTGCTTCCAGCATCCATCGAAAATGGTATATCCTCCTGGACACTCGTACACACCTGAAAATACGCCCGAGCCCTTCATCGAACCAAGGACCAGAACTAAGGAGGTGGTTTCCAAATTCTTGCATCCCGACTATGAGCTGGGTCTCATCTCATCTGAGAGCCAGTAAGTAGAATTACAAGTCAAGTTAATAGCTTTATTAATAGTTTATTGTTTTTCTTACAGCTATCAGTATGGACCCGATACCTATTTACTGCAGCTAAGAGATGTCAGCTTCCCAGTGAGGCTACGCGAGTACATGAAGGTTGCCCACAGACGTTCACCATCATTTGCTATTAACGATTCAGTTGATTGGTCGGTAAGTATCTATGAATATAAGTAGCGTAAATAAATCACGAATAACCTATTCAATATTATTTTCAGCTGCCCGTGATCCGTGAAAGACGTCGCTTCACTGACATCATGGATGAGGAAATCGATGATGAGCGCACCAGGAGCCGTATTAGCATGTATTCCGCTAATGATTCGTACTCCATTCGACGCCTGCGTACTGAGCTGGGACCTCGTCTCAATGAGTACACCGAGGCCGATGCGATGATCGAGACTCAGCGCGAAGGCTATCCACCCTTCTTCCGAGAGAAGCCACAAACAATTGCCATCACAGAGAATCGGCCAGCGCATATTCACTGCTTTGCAGTGGGCGATCCGAAGCCGTGCGTGCAGTGGTTCAAGAACGATATGGTTATCACGGAGAGCAAACGTATAAAGATCACTTTCGATGAGGATGGTCGTTCGATACTGCGCTTCGAGCCGGCCAGTCACTTCGATGTTGGCATCTATAAGGCTGTCGCCAGGAATAAGGTTGGCCAGACTGTGGCCAGATGTCGCATAGTAATTGCAACGCTGCCCGATGCGCCCGACTCGCCTGAGGTTTCGGCAACGAGTGCCACAGAAATACTGCTGAGATGGAAGCAGCCGCGCGACGATGGACACTCGCCCGTCATGTGCTACAGTCTGCAATACAAAATGCAAAACTCTGATGCCTGGACCACTGTGGCCGACAACATTGATCACGAATTCTATCTGCTGCACGAGCTGCAGCCCAACACGAACTATCAAATTCGACTGGCGTCGAAGAATCGCATTGGCTGGAGTGACATGGGTATTCCCGTGAATGCAACAACTGCTGGCACGGATGCACCCAAGGTCCACATTACGAAGGCCATGAAGCACTTGCAAATGCTGACGGAGAAGGGGCAAGAGGTGGTGCTCGAGGAGGAGCGTGTGCACATGGACTATCATTGCGAGCGCGAGCCACCCAACTGGGTGACCGATGCGTCCGTCAGTGATAAGTACAGCTTCATTTCGGAGATCGCACGCGGAGAGTTCAGCACCATTGTCAAGGGCATCCAGAAATCCACAGATACAGTTATTGTGGCAAAGATCTTTGAAGTCACCGACGAGAATGAGGAGGCAGTGGTCGCTGAATTTGATAACTTCAAGACCCTAAGGCACGAGCGCATACCCGCCCTGTTTGCCGCCTACAAGCCAATGAATGTCCCGATCGCAATATTTGTGATGGAGAAACTTCAGGGCGCCGACGTGTTGACCTATTTCTCGAGCCGCCATGAGTACTCCGAGCAAATGGTGGCATGCGTTATCACTCAGCTCCTGGATGCCCTGCAATACTTGCACTGGCGTGGATATTGCCATCTAAACTTACAGCCAGACAATGTTGTCATGGCCTCAGTTCGATCAATTCAAGTGAAGCTCGTGGACTTTGGCTCGGCAAAGAAAGTGAATAAGTTGGGCATGAAGATAGCACCCACTGGCATGCTGGACTTCCAGCCACCAGAAATGATCAACGACGAACCCGTCTTCCCCCAGAGCGACATTTGGTCGATGGGCGTACTAGTCTACATACTTCTATCCGGCACTAGTCCATTCCGTGGGGCCGACGACTACGAAACTCAACAAAACATTTCCTTCGTGCGTTATCGTTTTGAGAATCTCTTCAAGGAAGTTACTCCAGAGGCAACCAGATTCATTATGCAACTCTTTAAGCGACACCCCACGTAAGAGAATATCTTTCTAGAATTTACAATTTAATTAATTCAATTAATACATTAACCATTTTAAATACAGGAAACGACCATACACAGATGACTGTCTGGAGCACAGATGGCTGATGTCTTCCGATTATATGGTTCGAAAGCGTGAGCGCGCCGTATTCTTGGGCTGCCGACTGAAGGTAAGTTTTGAATATTACCGAAATGCATTTCTATTGATTGTTTTCAATTATTACTTTTACAGACCATTTCCGATGAATATCATGAGTATAAGAACAAAGCTGCTTCAACCTCGAAAGCTTTCTATGCAGTTGAAGGCGCACCCACACCTTCTCAACTACTTCGATCGAACAGCATTCAGGAGGAATTGCTCACAACGTTTTAGATAAACTGAAGAAAATAACACACAAAAATTAACTACGAATATTTCTATATTTCAGCACATAAATAAACAAAAAAAAATGAAAGAACAAGAATTTAAAATGAGATTATAATCATAAATGTTGTTGTCAATAAATTAAAGCTTTTCGCAAAATCAAATACTTTAATGAATGAAATATGTAACAGTTTGTTTTTTATTTTGCTCTAATAACTGATTAATGTAACTCTTAACAATTTCACATTACTTTAGCTAGCTCTCTCACTCAAGTTACTCTGATTGGGAATTGTAGTGAGGTAAAACTTGACTCCAATTGGAGAAGAACAAGAATTTAAAATGAGATTATAATCATAAATGTTGTTGTCAATAAATTCAAGCTTTTCGCAAAATCAAATACTTTAATGAAAGAAATATGTAACAGTTTGTTTTTTATTTTGCTCTAATAACTGATTAATGTAACTCTTAACAATTTCACATTACTTTAGCTAGCTCTCTCACTCAACTTACTCTGATTGGGAATTGTAGTGAGGTAAAACTTTACTCCAATTGGAGAAGCGTTCTTAAGCTGTTTATATTTTCTAATTTCGCGGCAGGCAGGCAATAATCGCAGCGGAAATATCGATTTATCGTTCAGTTGGTGTTTTTTTGACATCTCTAGCCGTTTTGTCCTAATTGTTATTGATTTTTAGCAAAATACAACTTATTCATTTATAAAATTAAATTATAATAAACATACTTTTGTATAAATATGTGTTGTGTATTAGTTGTAAGGTTTCCATTTAGTGTTTTTTAGCATATGTTTAATATATGTACATATAAATAGAATATAAATGTATCATCTACATATATACAAACGACAATATCTTGAAAAGGTGAACTAAATAATGCATAGATATGTATGATACAGATATTAGATTAACTACTTCAATCAAATCCAATTCTTCAATCAGGTACAACGCAGCTGGTGAAATGGCAAAGTTCCCGTTATTCAACATCAGCCGGAAAAACGAAACATATCCAGCGAACTTCAATATCAAATGCAAATCTCAATTGCTGGAGGAGCATGAGAGCGTTAAATTAATTATAAATCGTCGCGTCGCAGTCCATCCAATGAAGTGGCCTTTGCTGCGCTGTAAATGGCAAAAAAAGCTGACGCTGTCTTTGACGCTTTTTCTCATTTGCCTGCTAATCATTTTCGCCTACTCGGACGAATTTCGGAATAAGGTCTTCTCCGTATTTCTGTCAAATCGATTTGGCCAAGTGACAAACATTAGCAAACTGCAAACAGCCTTTGCGAATAGTAACCAAGAGCCAAATACATCGCATCAGCAGCTTTTGAAGCCAATGCAATATATATTGAACTATTCGGCAGCCCAACTGAACTACAGTTCGATTCTGAAGCCCATCACATCGAACTACAACATTTTCGTCATCTATACCAGAGAGAACTATAGATTGCATATGAAATTCGATCTGTTCATACATAGTCTGTTCAAGCATACCAATGCTCAGCTGCATTTGCATGTGATCACGGATAAGGAGAGCGAGGTGGCTGTGCTGGAGATACTGCAGCGCAAGGTGCGGCGCTTCAAGCGAGTTTTGATCTACTCCATGTATAATATACAAATCTGTTCGAATATAATTCAAGACATAACTGACAAATTGTCGCCGTACTTTAGCTCAGCGCCCAATTCGTATTATAGTGATTCGCTTTTTTTTATGTCGCTCGGCCTGCATCGCATCGCCGACGTGAGCCTCAGTCGTGCTATTCTCTTCGATTGTGATATTGTCTTCCGGTCAGATATTCGTTTACTTTTCGCGGAGTTTGATCGGTTTTTGCCGAATCAGCTTTTTGGCCTGGCGCCCGAACTAACGCCAGTTTATAGGCATATACTATACCGATATCGTACGCAGTTTCCCGAATCGAATTTCGGAAATCCATATCAACCGATACAAATAGGCAAAAATAATAATAATAAAAATAATAATAAATTGTTAACTAGTCGTAGCCAGGAACGTCATGGTTACCCGGGCCTTAATTCCGGCGTAGTGCTTATACTTTTAAACCGAATCCGAAATTCCAGTACGTACATCGAGATACTCACGAAATATGAAATCAATCGTCTAGTAGCAAAGTATTCCTTCAAGGGTCACCTCGGGGACCAAGACTTTTTTACACTCCTGGGCTATGAGTACCCGACTTTAATCTATCGGCTGGACTGTGTCTGGAACCGACAGCTCTGCACCTGGTGGAAGGATCATGGCTACAGTAACATATTCGATGCGTATTTCCGCTGTGATGGCAACATCAAAATGTACCATGGCAATTGCAATACGCGAATTCCAGAGTAATACGAACGTGTACAATAACGTATTTAGGAACAGAGAGAGAGGCATGCGACATCGCGTTTTAATGTACTTTGGGTGATATATTTGGAGATAGCTGGGAAAAGCCTCTCTCTCTCTGTGTCTTATGAGCTACTCTCTTATACCCACTCTCCACTGATCAATGCGATCGTCTTATTAACATTTAGACTTAAAATTAAAACAATATATATTGTAGATATAGCATAAATACGCATCTTATGAATAAAGTTAAATTGTTTACTACAATCTTCAAAATCTAAATGATGTTTCTTTTGATGTTATAAAGCTAACGAGTTTATGAAAGATAAGAAAATCTTAATAGCTGTGCTTTCAAAAAGGGGACTTACCTGTTAAGTTGATATAAATCTAAACTTTGTTGTTTTTAATAACTATGATGCATTCTCTATTTTAAACTATTTCAAGAAGTGACTATCTATAAAATGCGCACTTTTTTCAAGCTTGACTTTAGTACTTTCGACAAAACGACAAAAGTCTTGATTTATTTTATGACTTATTATTATTTTACGATTGTAAAAACTTACAGAGTTCCGCTGCTGAAGACTTTAAGCAAAGACAATAAAATATTTAGTTTTAAAATAATTTATTCCTTTATTTTTCAATACTTTTTACTAAAATCAAAAGACTAGGAACCTAGATATAGATTTCGTATATTTATATATAAGAGGAATGATATATTATTATATCAATCACGTCTATAAAATTTGTATGTAGTTTCCGTGTTCGTGGAATTTATATAAAATTAAAAAAGCGTGTTGACAGACAGGCAACGCGAATTACGTCAAATCGACTCATTCACTAGATCTAGAATATGTTAGCTCCATAGCATATATAATTGTAGTATATATTCATTTACGATTGCCAATAATCATTTTAAATGAGTTTTCTGTGTAATAAAGCAGTTTCTTAAATGGCTTTGCCTTTTAGGAAACTAAGCAATGATTCATAGATTAACGTTGGAATATTTTCTTCTCTTAGCTTTAAATGTTTTGTATAGTATCCTCTTCTTTAATCTAATAGTAAGTTTTCAAATTGTAGCAGGCGAATATGTAAGAAATATCCACATATACATATCCATTTTCCGAATGGAATAAAAAACCAAAGTGTTCATGAGCAATATACTTTTAATGCATACTTGACGCACTTACATGTATCATACCATTCATCCTATAATTACGTAACACAATGGAATAAACCTAACGTTTTGTTTTTAACAAAAGAAAATATCCAGACTCCCAATCGATAGCTTTTTACAAATATAAACATTTATTTTATAGATCATTTTTAAAAGCCCAAATATCACTAGAATTTAGAGAGGGATGCCAGCCTTTTGTGCCTGTGCCCTATAACGCTTAATGTAGACCTCTTCTGGGTCATATTTAGCCTGCAGTACCTTCCATTCCTCTGGCTTTTTGTCGATCACGAAGCGGATGACCTTGTCGGTGTTCTGCCTTTGCTTCTCACTGCATTTGCTGCACTCGGTGACCAAAGCGTCAGGCAGGGATTTCTTAAGCTCGCGGGCCTCGGGCGTGCACTTGCCCGTATCGATCAGGCACTTGTAGTAGTTGTTGAACAGACGATCCGACTGCAAGATTTCATCCACATCGATATTATCATATTTTGTCGTGTATTTCTCATCAGCT